AATATCGCAGTTTTCGTATTTCTGGAAATTACCGTTATATGGGAAGTGGGCGTGGTTACTGTCCGATTTCGCCCATTTTCAATACCAACCTACCTTGGATTAACAGAAACCTACATACCAAATTTCGTTGAGATATCTCAATTTTTGCTCGAGTTATCCTGTACACGGACGGACGGACAGACGGACAGACAGACATGGCTTAATCGATTTCTCTATTCATTCTGAGCATATAAGTATACATTTGTCTATATCTATCTCGATTCGTTTTGCCTGTTACAAACAACCGTTATGTGAACAAAATTAATATACCCTTGTGCACAAGTGCGCTCGGGTATAAAAACAGTAAAGGTTAAGTGTAGAAGTAATGTGAAATCGATTGTAAAGAGAAAAACGCCGTAAAATGGAAATATTGACTAGATTTGTTTAACTAAAGTACTGATTAAATGTCAAGAAGTGACTATTGTTTGGATCTTAAAAATAGTTTTGGCTTTGGTTTTATTTACATTCACTTAAAACTTATTCATTCTCTAAGGTGGGAAGCTGTTATCATGCCAGATGATGTGGCTTGTTTTGTCATGAAGATATTTTTCAAAAATGTTTGGATGGAACTCGATTGAGACTAAAACTTGTATTATTATCTTCACTGGACGAAACTTTAATTTGGTGTAAATTTTGAGTGATAAGCTGACAAATGTTAGCAAAAAATATTTAACTACTTTTAAATAATATGACTTTTAAGCAGGGACCAAAAATAACTGTTATCTCGAATTTACAAATTGAAAACGTTGCCTGAATTCTAAAATTTAACGAAAACGTTGTTTCATAACAGTTAATAGATGAGAAATATTTTTTCCGTTGCTGATAAGAGTTATTTCCCAACGCTTATTTTTTACGTTGGTCCATAACGGTTAGTGCCCAACGTTTATTTTTTACGTTGCGTGATAACAGTTATTGCCCGACGTTTATTTTTACGTTATCTGATAATAGTTATTTCACTCTCTCACTTTTATTTCATCATCTTTATCTTATTCTCCATCTCCATCTTCATCAATATCCTAATCTTACAACGTTTATCAGACAACGTAAAAAAAACGTTGTAAAATAACTCTTATCGGCAACGGAAAAAATATTTCTCCTGCATAACAGTTATCAGCCAATGTAAAAAATAAACGTTGGGTTATAACTCTTATCGACGAAATAAAAAATATTTCTCATCTAATAACTGTTATGGAGCAACGTTTTTGCTATAAAACTTATAACTGTTATGTCCCTGCTTTTAAGTTAGGGCGTGCGAGTAAACGTGTTAGCTGACTTCGTATGGTGCTACGCGGCGTATACGTTACATACGCAACCACGGGTATACATATGAGCACGAGATCTCACTTTTTATGCATGAGGCCTAATGACTCAAACAATTTAAATCAATTATAAAACTCTATTCAGCGGAGAATTTGCTACAAACGTAGCAAGTAAGTTTATTTGTTTTTGGAAAATCGGAATACATATCTCAGAAACCATTGCCATTGGGGCATAATAACTAGACTTTTGATTAGACTCAAAAGACATTCCTGATAACGGGGACCTTACTAGCATTCTGTTTATGTATGTCTGTATGTGTGTATGTTTGTATGTATAGAATATATTTGTCAATTATGTATGTAGTCATTCGTACCAACGAAGAATATCTTTTTTTTATTTAGAGTATTCAGCATATTGTACCTATTTAATTGTGGATATAATTTAGCAAAACTCAAAGAAAAGTCACATGCAATTCACGGAGGTATACATAAAAATTCTTTTAATACTGAGTTAACATTAACAATATTTTTTAAGCCACAAAGCAGGACTCCCTCTAGAAAATTTCCTTTGGTCATAAAAACGTACCCTGCGAAAAGTTTTTGAAATCGAACAACGGAAAGATATGCCTCGAAACGCCCTAAAGTTTACAATTTTCATGCAATTTTTCCCAAAGTGGTAAAAATTGCCTATAAGTCAGTGGGAAATTTAATATATTTTAATGGCACTTGATGCATTGTAAATAATTAGCAAAACATGCGACAAATTTTTGCATTGTCACGGTTTTCGCCATTTTTCAACAATTTCTGATAGAAATGCATAGCATATTCAAATGCCAAAGTTGTAGGGAACTTTTCTTTTTTAGTGTTGTGTTCTCCGGTGGCACAAAATTTATAAAGCAAAATTTAATTTACGGTTAGTTTAGATGCCATATTTGAGACGTCATGGAGAATTTTTCAAAAGGTCTCTCGGCTTTTCCCCAAAAACCACATAGACCACATAAGAAAAAATTTCTGTAGAGAAAACGGAAATCTGAATTTTTGCTAATTTTTTAATGGATAACATAGCCCAACACAAAAATATAACAAAATTTTGGTACCGCAAATGTTAAAGCAGTTTTTGATAGACTTTTTTGTGCTGATTACGAATTCGTAAGCATAAAAATGAAAGAAAAACGAGATCAAAGTGTCAAAAAATCGCGGGGGTGTTGGGGTTTAAGCCACCAAACCAACCACCTCCCCCCCTCCCTTGCGACCGAGCCTGTTTCAATGAATATGACTGCTAGGATACTGAAAGTTCTCGCTCTCGATTTTATTAAAAACTGGGCTGTTGTAATAGTCATAGAAATATTTAAAGTTGTGCCTTGTGGCTGGTGTAAACTGATTGTGTATGGAGTAAAAGTTTGCATAGAAAAACATTGCAGCTTCTTTCTTTAATATTTTTCAACAGATTAATGAGAAGTAGTAATTTAACTAGAGGTTCTTACTGAAATAGAGATAATTAGGGCATATTAAAATTTATGCCGTTTTCCTCTTTTACATGGAATGACCCGTACATACATATGTATAAACATATGTACATGCTTATAACCAGGCAGATCGAACCAGCGCTCGAATTGACAACTACATAAATGACCTTTGTTTTGTCTTAAAAATTTTTATAAAAAGGGAAAAAGGTTAAGCTGAAATATATTTTTCGTAACTCGTATCTTATATCAATGCCTTTAAAAAAAATCGAAGCATTTATGCACTGGGTACAAAATTAAGTGCAATAAAATTGATAAAAACGGCAAGTAATAAAATTCGCCAGTGAGATAAAAGGAACAATAACAACAAAAGCAAAATCAGCTGAAGAATGCCAACAATAGCAGACGTCCAATCCAATGCGCCAATACTTGCGAAATAATTTATGCGCACACACACTATGTATGTATGTACACGTATACATACAGCCAGCGTCAAAAATATGAATACCCTGACGTTTT